GATAATGTGTTTTATGTTAGAGATAATGTGTTTGATGTTAGAGATAATGTGTTTTATGTTAGTGATAATGTGTTTTATGTTAGAGATAATGCGTTTTATGTTAGAGATAATGCATTTTATGTTAGTTATAATGTGTTTTATGTGTCTCTAGAACAGTATGTCTTGGCCCTCTTTAGGTGGTGATTAGCCAATGACGATACCAGGGATGCTACTGTAATGAACGTACCGCTATACTAACTGATACATGTAAATAAACATACGTATACACATACATTGTACTTTGTTATTCTTAATAACGTACATTATACACTTAGTCATACACAATCAGGGCCCAGTTGTTCAAGAGGTGATTAGCTTAATCACTGTTTAACGACATTTTTCAACCTTTAATACTTGCCTCAATAAACAAGATTGTGCATGTTTATTCACTCTACAAAATATTTCATATCTGGAAAATTGTACCTCATTCAATAGTTTTGGTTTAGAGTTACATAAAAATCAAAATTTGCGCTAATCATTCATTAAGCTAATCACCTTTTAAACAACTGGGCCTAGGTGGATTATTCCGACTAATCGTCCACTTATTACAAAGAGTTAGAAATACAAAAACTTGCCTGATTTTATTTTAACTTACATGTATTTTGTTATATCCCGTGCGAGTATATGCGTCTTGCTACCATTCCGACAGTGATTGCCAATGCAAGTGACTGCACCGCCGGATGGTCACAATGTGGCGGTACGATGTGAAGTCACTCATCATAACTATATTGTTTTATTAAGTTTTCGGTTGTGTTCACTATGTCTTGGTAACTGTATTCGTAACGCTACCGATGAGAGTCTGTCCATGTTGATTGAAGTTTTATTGTGACATTTCCTAATCTCCCTTCTACTTGATATTATCATGTGTGCTGTTCTGTCCAATAAAGTAGAATATACACATATGAAAGAATGAAACCGATAACATTATCCAATCGGAACAGAAGTCCGGCTTGTTTGTGATCCAGTAAGTCAACAGTTGGTATTGACAAACACGCAGTGCTATGTACAATCCATCAACTGGATACAGGAAACAGAGGAAAGCAGATCATATATCACAATACCAGGAAGGTATAGTTCATAAAATAGCCAGATGATACACGATTGAAGCTTACTACAAGTACGTTATCAATTTTATCATCGGATCCGTTTTTATTGATTTCGCCGAGATTGTTACGGTATCAATAGCTATACCAGTTTGCCGCAAAGATAACATGACGTATAGCAGATGTGTTACTTAGTATTTATTGGGTCGCTCAGTGAAATTGAGTGGTCCTCCTCTGTGATAACTTGATTATCCGATGATAATACCAGGGTTAGCGCTGGTACTGTAACGAATAGAAATATATAAACAGCTATGTCCATTATTACTTTACTAAGTATAAAATTGTACACAATAACGTACAGATACACTTAGTTTTTCACAATAACGCACAAATATAAATGAACTTAGTTATACACATTAACGTACATTATATATATATGTAAAGGTAAATATGTTTGTTGATATATTCTTAGTCAATCTGTTTCACTTTACATTTATCGACAATGTACTATTTCAGATAAGAAATGTATGGACCACCTCGATACATGTAGTATATAACTTCCTGACTAAAAATCAAGGACACTTCAGAATTTTTCTACAAAGTCTGTTTTTCTTGATCTTTACGTATAACATGAATACAAAGGACGGCCTACTACATGTACTAAGCTGTACGATGAAAGTGACACGTTCCATGTTCCGATCGTTAACTTTCCCTTTCTTGATAGTACCTCGCTGCTTCCCAAACGGCGTTTACATGTTCTAGTTGATTCAGTATTCAAGACTTGACCATACAATGTAACATGGCAGTGAATAACTAAAAGCACTTTTTTTTTAAACTTTTTTTCTCGGGTGGTAAGTATGAACTGTATAAATGTTCATACAGGTATAACTCAAACACTGAATTGTTAAGGTGTGACGGACTATTTGTCTAATAAAGGTGACATCGCAATGTCACACATCGAAACTTCACTGATTGTGTTATATGAACCATTCAATTCAACTAAAAGTACCATAAATCACTCACGTCTTCTCACAGATGTAGCTGTACTGTTGGTTACACGTCCTGTCGTACCACTGGTAGTGCTCCTGGGTGTAGATGATGGTACAGTGTTGGTCTTTGTGGTCATTGTCAGGTTCCCCAGGACCCCAGTTTGTGTACAAAGGTGTTAAACCCTCGGGGACCCAGATAAAATTACCCTCCAACGCCCAGTCAGACAGCCCTATCCAGAACTCGTGGTCGTTGTACACTGCAAGAAACACACATATATCCACAGGAATAGTTGCATTGTACTGGTACATTAAACATCCGAAATATCTTCCAGGAATATCATGATCTTATAGAGTCTATACCATTTTACTGGTGTCATTATTGCTTCATTCTGAAAGTATACATTGACAATTTGGAAAGATGTACTTATGACCACAAACCTTGACTGTAATTTCTTAGATGCTCTGAGAGGAATTTGTCTTCTTCGAGGGTCTCAATTTGCACCAAAGTTGCACCATATAGTTTACACATTTCCTGAGGGATTAGGATACAGGAATCACATAATGCTGTTATTGATAAAAAAAATGTACAAACCAGAACAGACTGTATCCCATTTAACCTGTATTGGTACACACTAGCACGAAATGTGTCACATAATGCGGTCATTTGTCCAAACTATGAAAACAAATCATGTATTCTTCGTATTATGCGGCAATTAGTACAGAAAATTGTAGCATAAACTTGGTCAAATCCTGTACACATTAAAACGAATCGACACAATCGTTGTAACACATTGTATGTATTTGTGAATGCGATTGTAATATAGGTTATTATAGTACTCACCTCGGCGGTCACCCATTCCTCTGTGTCCCTACTGATGTGGTAGCATGCCTCTATATTACTTACCCAGCCTTCTGGACACGAGGACTGCGCTGAAAAGTACAATACATATGTTCACGCTTCATGCTTCAATACTACTGAGAACAAAATATGCAGTTTATCTTTTTGTCATTGAAAATAATATCATGCGTTTAAATACCTTCAACAAAAACCAGTAAAACTCCCAAAATGGCAGCATTAAGCAACATTTTATATGCTTATTGTATTGTATATATTATTGTGAAGTGCAACAGGTTCTTGTTACGACAGAGATATGAACAACACTGACCTTGAATTTCATGTACATCCAATCATTTAGGTTATCTCCCTTATTTCGGTCAGATCTTGGAACCGTTTAGAAACACGCACAGTTCTAGAATTGACCATCAATGTTATCTTTATGTATATCACCGTTAACGGACTCGCGCTGGACAGGTCATCTTTACCTGCACCGAACTCCCATATCTGATTAGTATTCTTCGAATATACCACAAATATCTATGCAGAACTCTTACATTTACTGTAAATCCAAAACACAAATCACCAATATATTAAGCCTTCCACAGAAAAAGTGTATTGTTTTTCCCGACTAACTGTATCGCCTCATAACTGAACTGGTTTGGATAGGTCTTCTGTATCTAAATTTTGGGTTCTCCTACTACAGGAATCTCCTTATGCCCTCTGCCTAAAAAATCAAAGCTTATATAATATCATAATTAATAGGTACTTTGTTAGTAATTATTAAACGTGTTGGTTGACTCTGCTGGTAGACTACCAGTCACCTTGTAGCTGGACTATCAGTCCCCTAGGTTGGCTGTCACCTTGTAGCTGGACAATCAGTCCCCTATGTCGGCTGTCACCTTGTAGCTGGACTATCAGTCCCCTAGGTTGGCTGTCGCCTTGTAGCTGGAATAACAGGCTCCTAAGTTGGCTGTCACCGTGTAGCTGGAGTAACAGTCCCCTAGGGTGGCTGTCACCTTGTAGTTGGACAATCAGTCCCCTCTGTCGGCTGTCACCTTGTAGCTCGACTATCAGTCACCTAGGTTGGCTGTCACCTGGTAGCTGGACTATCAGTCCCCTAGGTTGGCTGTCACCTTGTAGCTGGAATAACAGTCTCCTAAGTTGGCTGTCACCTTGTAGCTGGACTAACAGTCCCCTAAGTTGGTTGTCCCCTTGTAGCTGGACTATCAGTCACCTAGGTTGGCTGTCACCTTGTAGCCGGATTAACAGGCTCCTAGGTCGGCTGTCACCATGTAGCTGGACTAACAGTCCCCTATGTTGGCTGTTATGGACTAACAGTCCCCTAGGTTGGCTGCCACCTTGTAGCTGGACTAACAGTCCCCTTGGTTGGCTGTCACCTTGTAGCTGGATTAACAGTCTCCTAGTTGGCTGTCACCTTGTAGCTGGAGTAACAGTCCCCTAGGTTGGCTGTCGCCTTGTAGCTGAACTAACAGTCCCCTAGGTTGACTGTCACCTTGTAGCTGAACTAACAGTCTCCTAGGTTGGCTGTCACCTTGTAGCTGTACTAACAGTCCCCTAGGTTGGCTGTCTCCTTGTATCTGGACTTACAGTCCCTTAGGTTGGCTGCCACCTTGTAGCTGGACTAACAGTCCACTAAGTTGGTTGTCACCTTGTAGCTGGACTTCCAGTCACCTAGGTTGACTGTCACCTTTTAGCTGGAGTAACATTCCCCTAGGTTGGCTGTCACCTTGTATCTGGACTATCAGTCCCCTAGGTTGGGTGTCACCTTGTAGCTGGACTTACAGCCCCTTAGGTTGGCTGTCACCTTGTAGCTGTACTAACAGTCCCCTAGGTTGGCTGTCTCCTTGTAGCTGGACTTTCAGTCTACTAGGTTGGCTGTCACCATGTAGCTGGATTAACAGTCCCCTAGGTTGGCTGTCACCATATAGCTGGACTAACAGTCCCCTAGGTTGACTGTCACCTTGTAGCTGAACTAACAGTCTCCTAGGTTGGCTGTCACCTTGTAGCCGGATTAACAGGCTCCTAGGTCGGCTGTCACCATGTAGGAGACTGTTAGTCCCTTAGGTTGGCTGTCACCTCGTAGCTGGACTAACAGTCCCCTAGGGTGGCTGTCACCTTGTAGCTGAACTAACAGTCTCCTAGGTTGGCTGTCACCTCGTAGCTGGACTAACAGTCCCCTAGGTTGTCTGTCACCTTGTAGCTGAACTAACAGTCTCCTAGGTTGGCTGTCACCATGTTGCTGGACTAACAGTCTCCTAGGTTGACTGTCACCTTGTAGCTGAACTAACAGTCCCCTATGTTGGCTGTCACCTTGTAGCTGAACTAACAGTCCCCTAGGTTGGCTGGCACCTTGTAGCTGGACTAACAGTCTCCTATGTTGGCTGTCACCATGTAGCTGGATTAACAGTCCCCTAGGTTGGCTGTCACTCACCTTGTAGCTGGAATAACAGTCTCCTATGTTGGCTGTCACCTTGTAGCTGGACCTACAGTCCCTTAGGTTGGCTGTCACCTCGTAGCTGGACTAACAGTCCCCTAGGTTGACTGTCACCTTGTAGCTGGACGAACAGTCCCCTAGGTTGGCTGTCACCATGTAGCTGGACTTACAGTCCCCTAGTATGGCTGTCACCTTGTAGCTGGACTTACAGCCCCTTAGGTTGGCTGTCACCTTGTATCTGGACTATCAGTCCCCTAGGTTGGCTGCCACCTTGTAGCTGGACTAACAGTCCCCCCCCTTGGTTGTCACCTTGTAGCTGGACTAACAGTCTCCGGCTGTCACCTTGTAGCTGGACTATCGGTCCCCTAGGTTGGCTGTCACCTTGGAGCTGGACTAACAGTCCCCTAAGTTGGCTGTCGCCTTGTAGCTGGACTAACAGGCCCCTAGGTTGGCTGTCACCTTGTATCTGGACTATCAGTCCCCTAGGTTGGGTGTCACCTTGTAGCTGGACTTACAGCCCCTTAGGTTGGCTGTCACCTTGTATCTGGACTATCAGTCCCCTAGGTTGGGTGTCACCTTGTAGCTGGACTTACAGCCCCCTATGTTGGCTGTCACCTTGTAGCTGCACTAGCAGTCCCCTAGGGTGGCTGTCACCTTGTAGCTGAACTAACAGTCCCCTATGTTGGCTGTTACCTTGTATCTGAAATATCAGTTGGACTAACAGTCCCCTAGGTTGGCAGTAACCTTGTAGCTGGACTAACAGTCACTGAGGTGAGTCGTTTAGGTTGGCTGTCACCTTGTAGCCGGATTAACAGGCTCCTAGGTCGGCTGTCACCATGTAGCTGGACTAACAGTCCTCTAGGTTGTCTGTCACCTTGTAGCTGGACTAACAGTACCCTAGGTTGGCTGTCACCTTGTAGCCGGATTAACAGGCTCCTAGGTCGGCTGTCACCATGTAGCTGGACTAACAGTCCCCTAGCTGGACTAACAGTCTCCTAGGTCGGCTGTCACCTTGTAGCTGGACTATCAGTCTACTAGGTTGGCTGTCACCATGTAGCTGGATTAACAGTCCCCTAGGTTGGCTGTCACTCACCTTGTAGCTGGAATAACAGTCTCCTATGTTGGCTGTCACCATGTAGCTGGACTTACAGTCCCCTATGTTGGTTGTCACCTTGTAGCTGGACTTACAGTCTCCTAGGTTGACTGTCACCTTGTAGCTGAACTAACAGTCCCCTATGTTGGCTGTTATGGACTAACAGTCCCCTAGGTTGGCTGTCACCTTGTAGCTGGACTTACAGTCGTTTAGGTTGGCTGTCACCTTGTAGCTGGATTAACAGTCTCCTAGGTCGGCTGTCACCATGTAGCTGGACTAACAGTCCCCTAGGTTGGCTGTCTCCTTGTATCTGAACTAACAGTCCCCTAGGTTGACTGTCACCTTGTAGCTGAACTAACAGTCCCCTAGGTTGACTGTCACCTTGTAGCTGAACTAACAGTCCCCTAGGTTGACTGTCACCTTGTAGCTGAACTAACAGTCCCCTAGGTTGGCTGTCACCTTGTAGCTGGACTAACAGTCCCCTTGTAGCTGGATTAACAGTCTCCTAGGTCGGCCGTCCCCCTGTAGCTGGCCTAACAGTCCCCTAGGTTGGCAGTAACCTTGTAGCTGGACTAACAGTCACTGAGGTGAGTCGTTTAGGTTGGCTGTCACCTTGTAGCTGGACTTACAGTCCCCTATGTTGGCTGTCACCTTGTAGCTGGTTTAACAGTCTCCTAGGTTCGCCGTCACCTTGTAGCTGGACTAACAGTCCCCTAGGTTGGCAGTAACCTTGTAGCTGGACTAACAGTCACTGAGGTGAGTTGTTACCTTTTAGCTGGACTTACAGTCCCCTAAGATGGCTGCTAGGTTCGCCGTCACCTTGTAGCTGGACTAACAGTCCCCTAGGTTCGCTGTCACCTTGTAGCTGGACTAACAGTCTCCTAGGTTGGCTGTCCCCTTGTAGCTGGACTAACAGTCCCCTAGGTTCGCTGTCACCTTGTAGCTGGACTAACAGTCTCCTAGGTTCGCCGTCACCTTGTAGCTGGACCAACAGTCCCCTAGGTTGGCAGTAACCTTGTAGCTGGACTAACAGGCACTGAGGTGAGTTGTTACCTTTTAGCTGGACTTACAGTCCCCTAAGATGGCTGCTAGGTTCGCCGTCACCTTGTAGCTGGACCAACAGTCCCCTAGGTTGGCAGTAACCTTGTAGCTGGACTAACAGTCACTGAGGTGATTTGTTACCTTTTAGCTGGACTTACAGTCCCCTAAGATGGCTGCTAGGTTCGCCGTCACCTTGTAGCTGGACTAACAGTCCCCTAGGTTCGCTGTCACCTTGTAGCTGGACTAACAGTCCCCTAAGTTGGCTGTCACCTTGTAGCTGGACTATCAGTCCCCTAGGTTGGCTGTCACCTTGTAGCTTTACTAACAGTCGCCTAGGTTGGCTGTCACCTTGTAGCTGGACTTACAGTCTCCTAGGTTGGCTGTCACCTTGTAGCTGGAGTAACAGTCCCCTAGGTTGGCTGTCACCTTGTAGATGGACTTACAGTCTCCTAGGTTGACTGTCACTTTGTAGCTGGACTAACAGTCCCCTAGGTTCGCTGTCACCTTGTAGCTGGACTAACAGTCTCCTATGTTGGCTGTCACCTTGTAGCTGGACTAACAGTCTCCTAGGTTCGCCGTCACCTTGTAGCTGGACCAACAGTCCCCTAGGTTGGCAGTAACCTTGTAGCTGGACTAACAGGCACTGAGGTGAGTTGTTACCTTTTAGCTGGACTTAC